GTGACTCTGTGTATTCTTTCCATCTTCTTTTGTTGCTTCCTGCATCATTCAATATTTTGCCCATAGAATCTTTCAATATTGCAACTCAAGGCTTAATTTTTTTCCTTAGTTCTTTCAGCTTGAGGAATGTTGAGCATGTTCTTCCCTGTAGGTTTCCTAACCCAAAGTCTGCACATTTCATTACAGTAACTGGCTTTGTCTGCTGGAGCTGCTCTTTGAAATCTTCTGTTCAGCTCTTTTATCTTGCCATTTCTTCCATTTGCTTTGACTACTCTTTACTCAAGGGCAAGCTTCAGAGTCTCTTTTGTCAACCATTTTAGTCTTTTCTTTTTTTTTCTTGTCTTTTTAATGACCTCTTTCTTTCTTCATGGATGACGTTCTTAATGTCCTCCCACAAGTCTTCTGGTTTTCGGTGTTGGTGTTCAGTGCATCAAATTTATTCTTTAGATGGTCTCTAAATTCAGGAGGGATATATTCAAGATAATATTTTGGCTCTCATGAACTTGTTTTAATTATCTTCAATTTCAAGTAGAACTTGCATATGAGCAGTTGATCGTCTATTCCAAAGTCAGCTCTTGGCCTTGTTTTGGCTGAAGATACTAAGCTTTTCCATCGCCTCTTGCCACAGATGTAGTCAATCTGATTCCTGTGTATTCCATCTGGTGAGGTCCACATGTATAGCCCCCATTTGTGTTGATGAAAAAAGGTATTTGCAATGAGTAAGTGTTGGTCTTCCAAAATTCTATCATGTGATCTCCAGCATTATCTCTGTCACCAAGACCAGATTTTCCAACTGCAGGTGATTCTTCTTTGTTTCCAACTTTTGCATTCCAGTTCCCAGTGATAATTAACACATCTTGATTGCACGTTCTTTCAATTTCAAACTGCAGAGGTTGATACAAATCTTCAATTTCCTTGTCTTTTGCTTTGGTGGTTGGGTTGGTGCATAAGTTTGAATAATAGTTACATTAACTGATCTTCCTTGTAGACATATGGATATTATCCTATCACTGACAGCATTGTACTTCAGGACAGATCTTGAAATATCCTTTGTGATGACAAATGCCATGCTATTCCTTTTCAAATTGTCATTCCCAGCATAGTAGATTATATGATTGTCTGATTCAAAAAGGCCACATTAGCAAAGGATATATAGCATTATGTTTTGGTTCTCTAGTGCTGCTCTAACAGAAATACCACAAATGGTGTTTGGCTTTTAACAAACAGGGATTTATTCTCTTAAAGTTTGGGAGGCTGGAAGTCTGAGTTCAAAGTGCAGCTCTAGGGGCTGGGTAAAGGCCCCTTGACCTTGGGCTTCAGCTCTGCCTCTTGCTCCTGGCCCATTGCAGCTAGAGGCTTCTCTTAACTCAGACAGCTTCTGGCTGCTAATGCTTTCAAACCCAAGGTTGACAAGTAAAAAGGCACAGTCCCAAGATTATCGTACAACATGACAGGCCACTAATTCAAATCCTTTAACAGTCCCAAGATTGGCAGACAACATGGCAGGCCATTGAGATGAAGACTCAGCCACATGTAGGGTTCCGATGTGCCAAAAGTTGAGACACCTTTCTCAGTGCTTCTCCTTATATACGAGGAGCAGACCATATCCCTAAGGCAGCTACTCAGCTGCTCTAGTAGATTTCACCAAGGAGTTCATTACCAGTCTCATTGTGGGAAATAACTACATCCAGCTTCCTAGCCACTCAAAACCAGACTCAGCCAAGTTGACAGACAACTACCACACATTATTATGATGATTTTTCTTGTTTCCTATACAGTATGTCTGAATTATAATTCCTTCAGGTCTTATAATGCTTTCAAGGTCTGATATCTTAATTTTTAAGTAATTCTGATTACTCTTTCTTTTCTGATGTTAACTGTAAAAAACAAATCAGAAAAAGATAAAGGAGGAAACTAAAATTCTCATAATGCCATAATCCAGAGATAACCATTGTTTCCGTTAGTATATTCTTTTTCTTTTTTAATTGTTGAACATGTGTATGTTTTATTATGTGTATTTCCACCAAAAATTTAAAACAAATTTAAACAGAAGAAAAATGTGACATTAATTTTTTTTTTAAAATTATGATTTGGGTGAAAGTTTACAGAGCAAATTCACTTTCCATACAGCAAGTTTATTCTTTTTTTAAAAACCATTTTTCAAATTGTGGTAAAGATAGGTAACAAAACACTTTGCATTTCAACAATCTTTACGTGTTCTTCTTTTTCATATGTATGTTATAATGTAATACATTTTGAAAACATATTCATTGTAGGGAAAAAAAAGAAAATACAAATAAATAAAAACTGGCTTTAAGCCTACCATTCAGTGGTAATATTTTAGTGTATAACCTTCTAGCCTTTTTCTACACATTAAGTGTATGTGTGTGTGTGTATATATATATATGTGTAGATATATATATATATATATATATATACACACATTGTTATTTTTTTAAATTTTCATAGTAGTTGGGACCATATGCTATACAGCTACCCTACTGTTTTATTTAACATCATAATGGGAACATTTTCATAAGTCAATATTAATTATTCAAAAATTTCATTTTTAGTGATGTCGTAATATTAAATTATGTAAAACTGAAAAACCTAAACTTTTTTTACCCCTTCCTCTATCAATAGATGTTTCAAATAGTTTTTTAAGTTTTCACTAATTCCAATAATGATGGAGTTACCTTTTCTGTGTCTGTTATTTCACATACTCACTGCCATTGAGTTGATTCCCACTCATAGCAACCCCCATTGGGTTTCCAAGGCTGTAAATCTTTACAGAAGCAGGCTGCCTCATCTTTCTTCCATGGAGTCTGGCTGATGGGTTTGAACCATCAACCTTTTGGTTAGCAATCAAATGCCTTAACCTCCACACCTCCAGAGCTCCCTCCCTTGGATCATTTTTAAGGCACTAAATAAATTGGCTGATTTTTAGAAAAGTTGTATTGGTTTATACTTTTATTTCACTGTTAAGGAACCTTATATAACATTTCCTTAAAATCGATTTGTACTGATGTGATGCTAATGTTGATTTATAATTTTTAAAATACAGAATTGTTAACCAGTTAGGTTGTAGTATATATATTCATGTCATTAACAAAAAGTAGAGACGTTTTAGATTTTGTAATATAGCAATTAAGTAATTTGTATTATTTACAAGAAAATACAATAATTATAGGAGACAGTCCTATGTTAGGTACAGCCCCACTAGTCTGTGTTCACAACACTGATTTAATTCTAGAAATAAAGAGAAATGGTAAATGGCTAAATATGTATGGAGGTTACATTATACACTACTGAGGTTAGCATCCTTATCCTAATTAAGTTTATATCTAGCACAGTAGTTGACTCAGTGTTAACCCCCCGATGAATTAATAGTTTTCACTACCTTGATCTCTGTTAGGATTATTGAAAGACATATTATTAGATAGCCTTGTTTCAACAGCTTATATCTCTTCTTCCTGAGGTATGTTTTGTCAATAGAGAGTGCTGAAGAGATTCGAGAATATGTTACTGATCTCCTCCAGGGAAATGAGGGCAAAAAAGGACAATTCATAGAAGAGCTTATAATCAAATGGCAAAATAATGATCAAGAGTTGACTCATGATCCTTTACAGCAGTGTTTCAAAAAAGATGGTAAGTAAGGATTGAAATATTACTTATTTTGATACCAGGTTTATAGAATTTGGTATTATTTTCTTTCAACTTGCATTTCCTGACAGGTAGCTTATGAAGAATCGTATGTGTACTTTTTTCGGTTCAGTTCTATACAGTTGTTAATGATTGTTGGTCTAGTTTAGACTTTTTCATCTTAAAAAATATTACAAGAATACCTGTTTGGAGACACAAGTATGTCTTCATATGCTGTGTATATATGTATTTAAGATGTACATTGAATAATATCAGAGGAGACATCTGTTAATTTATAATGTATTTGAAAGCTTATCTGTTTTTTCATTTGTAAAATGGGTCATTTGTTTAAATAATCTTTCGTGTCTTGTCATACAAATTTATAATGGTCTACACTTCTTTATCTGTGATTCCAAAATCCAAAAAAGTTCTGAAAATTAGAAGTTTTCCTAACCTTCGTGGTAACTCATTTGCTTGTAAATCTAATCTGAAGTGACATTGAGTCTGCCTACCCCATTTAGTATGAATATTCATTTATTTTGCTGCAGAAATATTCATGTTTTTTATTATGAGGGGTGCTGCCTCAGACACTGCTGGGGGTTATGTAGTATATGGTATGGTCTGACATGCACTGAATTACCTTTCTAAAAGCTGAAAATTTCAGAATTCTGAAACTTCTACCCTGAAGGGTTTCAGATAAAGGGCTGTAGATCTCTGTATTTCTGTTACGTAATTTAGAAGATATTGTTTACTTCAAAAATAATGTGAAATGCTTTTGTATTCTAGACAGTTTTTCACTTTGTCTATAAAATAATTTTTAAATTGCTAAAAAAAAAGACACAAGTGTGTCTTTAGAATTATTTGAAAATTTTACATGTGGTTTAAAGAAACATTTTTCAGCTATGTTTATACCTGGATGGAAGTAAAATGTTACCTAATTACAGTATGAATAGCATTTAGAAGTTAAGATTTAGTTGAACAGTATAGAAGATGAGCATCAAACTAAAGAATCTAAGTCATACTATAGATTATTATATAATCTACAATATCAGATTTTAATTCAACTCCTTAGTCTTAACCAGTATTATTTTCTTTTTCTGTTTTTTTAGTTTTTTATAATCAAATAAAATCTTGAAGATGATGGCTTAAATTTAATCCTGGTTTGAGAGAGAAAGATAATTAATTAAAAAACTGCCTGGCTTGATATATTGGCTCAACATAGTAAGCACTGCCTTTTCTTTTTTGGAGCTCCGGTGGCATAGTGGTTAAAGCACTTCGCTGCTAAGCAAAAAGTCAGCAATTAGAACCCACCAGCTGCACCATGGAAGAAAGATGAGGCAGCCTGCTTCTGTAAAGATTTACAGCCTTGGAAAATTCATGGGGCAGTTCTACTCTTCTCCTATAGGGTCACTATGAGGTGGAATTGACTCAGTGGCACTGAGTTTGGTTTTTTTGGTCTCTTTATTAGCTATTAGAGTTTACCAATGAATTCTACTCTCAGTCTGTGTATGTGTGTGCTTTTTATCTATATGTCTCTATCTGGTGATGCCGTGCCTAAGGCATTTGACTGCTACCAGAAGGTTGGTGGTTCAAACCCACCAGCCATTACGTAGAAGGAAGATACGGCAATCTACTTCCATAAAGATTTACTGCCTTGGAAACCCAAA